TACGGTCAGCTCGGATCACCGAAGAGCTCACCTATCGACGCCAGGCCATGGATGCATGTATAGAACTCGCCTGCTTGCAGTCGGCCTCTGGCAACACAGCCACTCACTCTACTAACGGTTCAGTTTCCGGTTCCGGCTCCCTTGGTACAATTGGCCTGGCTTCTACATCCACAATCGGTACCAGCGGTGATGCTCCCATGGTCAGCAGTAACCCCACTTCTGTTGGACAGTCAATTTCCGCTGTTACTGTCAATGCAGTCGGTACAGGCTCTGGAACCGCACAGCCTCCAAACTGCTACGTGATTGTAACATTAAAGGAAGCCTCACGCATGTTCATTCATCTTGATATGCATTACCAACATTCTCTTGATCAGCGCCGGCCGCCAAGGCCTAGCCGGACCTCTCCAGAACACCTGGTTTCCCCCGGGCTTAGTGTTGGCACAGACTCAAGCCAATCTATCAGTTTCATGCATCAATCAGGTAATCGGGTTAATGATGCCTCTCTGAAGCTTCGAGCCGCTGCAGCCGCCGCAGCTGCCGCCGTCGCGCTAGAACGTCTGGCTGGGCAGCCCGATGCACCAGCTCGCCACTGGCTAGACTATCTTGCACGTTACCTGTGCTTACCATCTGTCGGGTGGTCATCTACTAGCGTGCCTATTTCTCCACGCCTCTGCGCTCGAATTCGACCTGTATTTCTTTATCGGAACGTGAAAAAATGTGTAGACCGACTTACTCGTCAAGCAATGCATAGACGCTGCCGGCAACTTATATCCACCGGAGATGTTCAGCCTGAAGAGGTAGGCACTCAATTGCTTTCCTGACCCAAAGCCTTGGTAATACAGTCTACATTGTCATTATACTTAAATTCCTATAAACTAACATTTTTTCTCTTGATATGATCTTGATATTTCTATTATGATTCCATCGGTTTTATTTCTATTAAAAATATTTATTATAGCACTAGATACAACTACCTCAATTGGGTCGATCCACTCTTGATCGATCAGTTTATTTAATTAAGATTCAGAACTTTAAAAATTCTTATATTTTTCTAACTTCCACAATTGAGTCTAATTTATTTTTTCTAATAATACCTTTTAGCTCGCCATTAGTTCTCTTGCTACGACTTCGGGTATCTCTTCAACCGAGCAAGCGCAGCCTAGTGAGCCTATAGCTGATTCTCTGGCTCCTAGTCAATCGGATAGTGTTCCCTTGCTTTTTGGTGCTGCTGGCTTTGAAAGAGATGCTTGGGAATTAATGCGTTCTGTGTTTAGAAATGAACTCACTAGAAAAGAGGTGAGTATTTTGTGGTTGATTTTTTATTCTAACTACACGTATTTCTTCATATGTATGCCAAGTATATGGATCACTCAATTTAATAAGCGCTGGAATCGATATAATTATTTCCTAGGAGTACACGCTGACATAACACGTTTTTGTTATATTCGGAAGAATGATCTGAGGCGTGAATGGTATTGGATTAACTTATATACTACCAAGCGATTTGAAAAATGTATCTCTTTTGGAAGGTGCCATTAATTTATTTACATGATTATGGGCCTCGTCGAATTAGTTTCTGCACTGCTATTTAAAAAGCTAGCTGAATTTTGCTGATCCGCTATTTACCTAATTTCACTTCATTTTCAATGATAGTTGATTTGCTTAACTCATTATATGCGCTCACTAGAATGAACATCTAGTGTGATATTCAAAACAAAGACCTGGTGTCTTGTCTGCGTTTTATGATACGCATTGATTTTATCATTGAGCTCTCCCTATTTAGCGTTCTCGCTTTGGTTCTGACATTGTATTAATTTATGACCTAGTGTTTCTTTTATGTTATGAAGCAGCTAATCTTGCTCGTGTATATACAATTTGGCAAGCTACGATTTTGCTTAGTTTATGTTTAACTAATTATTCAGGAAAAATAGTGCTTGTTGGGACGCATTAAAAGTATATTTGCATGTGTTGACGTTATTTGTCGTTTACTCGAATCAATCACTTATATTTAATGGAATAGAGGATAATCTGCTGTAAGATGTCCGAAAATAATGCTGAGTGGGATAGAATTTTGAGCCTCGGTCCCTTCAATTGTTGTGCTGTTTCCACGGGGTATAGCAGAATGCCAATTTTCTTTATCACTTTCCTTTAACCTCGATTTCTAGCCTATATACTTTATTTTGCTCTCAAACCGTTCTGCCCGCGTTTATTGATTTGTAACGAATTTTTATGATTGATCCTTTTTATGGCGTAAAAACTGTCAACGTTAAATATTTATAGAAATTGTTTGACCTTGTTTTCGCAACTTGGTCATATTGGTAGGAAGACTAATAGGAAAGCACC